AAAGAGCTCCAGCACCGTGAGGATGCTGGCCCCGATGAACAGCCCCATCTGGCCCCCGATGTCACCTGCGGGGGCGGGGGCCAAGGGGTCAGGACACCGTGGGGGCAGCAACAGGGCTTATTGGGACTGGGGCAGGCAAGTTGTATTCTCAAAGGGATTGGCAGCCTTCGCACAGAAGTATCGTTAAGCCAGATTCAAGTGGAATTTTTATTTTCTTCTCTAAGCTTAGTTCTGCATTTTTCTACCTTTCTAAAACGAGCAGGTGTTTTTCAGGAAAAATAATTATTTACAAAATAGCACAACCCTCTTAGTTTTTGGGCCAATTTTAGGGGCATATGAAATACTCTCCACTTCCATGCCTATCCCTCCCTCATGTCCACAGACCTGTCTTTTCCCCTATGTCCTAAGAGAAGGCTCAGTCCCCTTTCTCCACCACTTACCAAGACAACAGGGTTTGGGGAAGGGCCTCTGGGGTGGAGGGCCCTCATGGGACAGAAGTGAGCACCCTGCTTTTGGATGATAGGGAGCCACACCATGCCTATGGCATGGGAAGGGGACAGGTGCCATCAGCAGCTCACCCAGGAGCCCTGCAATCTCATAGGCCTTCTTCTGTTCAATGGTCTCATAGTTGAGGACTTCAAAGAAAATGTCCAGCACCAGGATGTTCTCCCTGCACAGGGATTGGGGGAGGAGACCTAGGTTCAAGTCATATCTCTGTCTCTTACTAGCCAAGTGATCTTAGCAAGTCAGCCTCTCTGAATCTCAGTTTCCATGTCCATAAAGTGAGATACTGATGGAGATACCTGCCTTTTAGGATTAAATGAGATGCCACAAATGAAAAAATGTTCTGCACTGTATGCAGTATGCATCAAGTATAAGGCGACTCTGGTTCCAACAATAAGGATAAAGAGGAAGGAGAAACGGTGCTTCCCCTGCTTATTCTGGCTTGATCTTCCTGCATACCCACCCTAGAGTCTTTGCTTGCCTTTTGGACCTTCCCTGTATTGTCTCAACTTCCTCCTGCCTGCCAGCAGGCACCCCCATCAAACCCCACTCATACATTCCACAGTCCCAGCCCAAGGGTCTTGCTCTACCCAGCCAGAGCCCTTACCCTATGTATTGCTCAGACTTGTTGAACTTCTTGGCCAGGTACTTGGCTGAGGCTTTGCTGGGGATCTTGACCATGGACAGCTCCTTGCCATAGCGGGTCAGGTTGCAAGGCATTTCACACACGCAGTACTCCTGGTCCTTCTCCACCAGGAAGTCTGCACTCGGCCAGGTGAGAGGTGCCAGTTGAGTGGTGCCCTTCTGCTAGCACCTTCCCACATGCACATCCTAGCTCTGCCCAGAGAAACCCTGGGCCCCTTTCTCTTTCCGTGTCCTGCTGGGATGTCAAACTCTGCCAACATCCTACCTCACCATCCAGCCTGAGGCATGTTTGAGGACTTTACCTGCTGAACCCTGCAGGCCACTGAACCAAAGATGTAGATGGAGAGAACTAGGAGAGGGAGGAAACCCCCAGCTGCCCCCTCACAGCTGTGTCCACCTTGTGCTAACCCTCACCAAGCCTCCCCATGGATATTTCTTACTCTTACATCACTTCCTCGGGGCCCTCCAGGGTCAACTGGCTGAGGGGCTGATGAAAGAATTCAAGGCCCGTCCCCAGATGACCTCTGTTCATTTTTCATAGGAGCCTCTGAAAATGCTATTCTCAACTTTATTGATTATTATTATCATTACTTTGAGACAGGATCTTGCTCTGTCGCCCAGGCTGGAGTGCAGTGGTGCAATCTTTGCTCACTGTAACCTCTGCCTCCCAGGTTCAAGGAATTCTTCCACCTCAGCCTCTGGAGTAGCTGGGACTAGAGGCACATACCACCACAGCCACATTTTTTTTTTTTTTTGTATTTTTCGTAGAGATGGGGTTTCACCACATTACCCAGGCTGGTCTCAAACTCCTGGGCTTAAGCAATTTGCCCACCTCGGCCTCCCAGAGTGCTGGGATTACATGTGTAAGCCATCACGCCTGGCCACTCCCAGCTTTAAAGTCAGACACAGGAGAGGGTGCAGCCCGGTCCAGAAGTTATCTGAGGCTTCTGGGAGCTTGACCTGAAACCCCGTGCACGTGGCTGTCAGCACCTTTTCCCTCCCCCAGACTGCCCCAGGCCAGGGGCGCTCACCCAGAGCAGGATCTGCACACTCCTTGTACTGCTCTGGAGTACAGTATGGGGCATCCCCTACAGAGGAGAAAAGACAGTGATGCAGGATGGGGATTCAAGGGGTCTGGTGATAGTGGTAGTACCAAATAAAGGCCTAGAAGGTGTGAGCTGGGAGAGGATGGGAGGGGAGGACTGGTTGGCCCCCATGCTGCCCCAGAAGTGACCCATACCCAGTCCATACCTTGTCGACCCTTCCCACCCATCCCTGGAGGTGAAGGCAGGAACTAAGGTCAGAGAGACAAGAACCAGATGGGTATGCGATGGGGTGGGCTGGAACTGGGGTGGGAGATTGATATGGACGGGGAGCTAGTGAGGGGCGGCGGAGGCCCAGGGGCCCCAGGAGTGTGCTCGGAGCTTCGGGGCCTGACCTGGCATGTGCACCATGCGGCAGTTGCAGTTCTCCACCAGGTAGCGGGTCTCACAGTCGATGCGGCAGGCGGTGATGCTGTAGGAGTCGAAGAAATCCAAATCCGAGTCCATGGTAACAGCTTTGCAGGTGCCCCAGGGCGGGGGCAGGTAGATGAGCTGCTGGGAGAGCCAGGGAGCTGGGGGAGCGTGGGGACTTCTCCCCAGATCAGCTTGATGGACTCCTTTGACAAGATGTAGATCTCTGGAGTTCTGCCCCCCCTCCCTCTGCAGCCTCCGAAGGTCTCAGAGTTTACAGAGCATTCTTGTTCATTCCATCACTCATGCTTCTGACTAGCTAGACTACCACCCAGGTCCTCGCTCACCTGTCCTTCCCATTACTGATTGCCCCCCACCCCATCTGGACCCCTCAACACCCCACCCCAGGACCAGCCTCCCATGGCCCTCTCACCCGCTGCTCCTGGCAGGCCACAAAGGTCTGGAAGCCTGGGGCCACGCCAAAGCCCAGCTGGTCGATGAAAGGAGGTTCATCCTGACTATGGATCTGCACTTTGATGCCTGCTTCAAAGGACGTCTCGTCTAGGGGAATGAGGGGTGTGTGGGTTGGGAGGCTCCTGACTCCCTAATCCCCTTCGGGCCTGGGGGCATCCTACCTCTCCTGGGAATAAGCATAGCATACACTGGGGCTGGGGTGGGGGAAGTCTATAGGGTCCTAGCCCACACCCCAGCCTCCTTCCGAGTTTACCAGCTCTGTGCTGCTCCCATGACCCCTGTATCCTACAAACTTCTTTTCTTACCTGGCTTCTGCTCTGCATCTTGGTGTTTCAAATACTTTCTCCCAGAGTATCACTGTCTCAGATGCTCTCCATTTCTACCCCCACCTTTCTCCCTTCTCCCCCATCTCTCTCTGCCCCAAGGCCCCCTGAGACCCGACAGGCAGGCAGCCTGAGAAGACAGGGAGTTATTTATAGAGTGAGTGGCGGCTGCTGATGGAAAAGGATGGCTGGTTACCTTGGAGAGTAACTAAGCCAGGAAGGGGGAGTCAGAGAGATATGAGTGTGGAAGTCAGGTAGAGTCAGTGATAGTGATGGTGAGATGCTGGGGGCAGAGGGGAAAGCCCAGGCCCTGCCCAGGTCTCACGGTGAAGGCCAGGAATCCTCTGGCAGAGGCTGGGGCCTAAAGCCGTGGGGAGGGGCCCCTGAGAGGGGTGACGTACCAGTCTCCCCCCACACAGGCAGGTACTCGTCCTGCTGGATGTCCAGCATGATTTCCAGCCCATTGCCTGTCCCACCCTTCATGGTCTTCAGCCGCGGCCGCCCATCTCGGCCCGAGTTGAACGTGTAGCACTTTCCATATCGTGTGAAGACCTGGCGGGGGCAGAGTGGAGAGCCTGGAGTCCTGCCGGCACCCTCTGCTCACCAAGGGCTGTTCCCAGCCACCCCAGCTTTGGGATCTCAACACCCTTTGGGGTGCAGCCCAATCTCCATTTGCTCCCCTCTCCCACCTGTTTCCCACCCTTCCTTGCCCTCTGTGTGCCCTGGGAAACTGTTCCTTGTAGGGAGCTTTGCCTGAGCTCCTTTGCCAGCTGCATGGGCTTCTAGTTGGGTTTGACCGTTGGGAAGTATCAGTAATGGATCAGAAGGGTATGAGTCCTTCCCCACCCCTGCCCCCTCTGTAGCTCTAGTAGCAGCTTAGGCCCTCCATGATTACGAACCCTGCCAGGAGGGCTTCCTACACAGCACTGTCTTCTTTTGTGCTTCTTCGGCCTAGAAGTGATAACGACTTCCTAGTACTGCTCGCTGCCTCAGCCCCCCTCATTCGTCTACTTAACCCTGCCCACAGCTCTGTCAACTGTCCCTTTGTTAAAGTCTTCAATTGAATCATCAAGGGGCTTTTTCCTGCCAGGACCCTGAAACATGCATTTTCATCACCAGGATCCTATCACGGCCAGACCCCTGGCCCCTGCTTGGGACCCTTTCCTCAGGCCCAAGCTCCTGAGGCCTCTGCCTCTGAGACATCTCCTCTCTTTCCCTAGATTTCACTCTGGACATCTGAAATTCTGCTTTCCCCAAGACCCAAACTCAGTTTTTTGTTTATTTGTTTGTTTTTTTTGAGATAGAGTCTTGCTCTGTTGCCCAGGCTGAAGTGCAGTGGTATGATCTCAGCTCACTGCAACCTCTGCCTTCTGCGTTCAAGTGATTCTCCTGCCTCAGCCTCCTAAGTAGTTGGGATCACAGGTGTCTGCCACCACGCCTAGCTAATTTTTATATTTTTAGTAGAGACATGATTTCACCATGTTAGCCAGGCTGGTCTCGAACTCCTGACCTCAGATGATCCGCCCACCTTGGCCTCCCAAAATGCTAGGATTACAGGCATGAGTCACTGTGCCCGGCCAAACTCAGTTTTTTGGTTTCCTTCAGCCACTAGCCCCTTGGGTCCATCATTATTCCATAATCAGCACAACCTGAAGGCAGACCCAGTTGCCATGCTAAGGATCATGCTCAACCACGCGCCAGCACCTCTTCTCCCAGCACTTGGGACTGAGCCCCCATAGCATGGCATGTGTGTTAATGCTTTTGCAAAACTAGGAGCACCTCAGAAGCTATCTCAGCCCTGGGTGCTGTCTCCCCAGTCTTCTCCCCACTCCATGCCCCAGTGCAGCCCTGGTCACAGTGCTGATTACAAAGCTGCAGAGCGATAAGTAAACCAGTTGTTCTTGGCCTTTTCCTCACAGACTCCTTGAATGTCCCCAGGTTGTGGCTGTGCTTTTACTACTGCTGGATGGTAACAAAGTCCACAAAACAGGTCACAAGGTGAGTCAATACAGCCCAGAGCAGGGGAGAGACAAAAGAGTTTCAGGCTAGATTGGAGCAGCAATGGCAGCGGGTCACTAGGGTATAGGGTCTTTGTAGTCTGCCCCTTCCTAGAACAGCCTCCTCCACTGACCTCCAGAAAAGGAGACATACTCCCCATTTTGTGGGTGAGGTCCAGAGATGAGGCAAAGAGAATTCCAAGGGTTCCTTGCCCCCAGCTCCACAACCAGGTCTGTGACACCCAGCCAGAGGCTGCAGGTGGGACACATGCCCATGCCTACATTCCATCAGGAGCTGTGTGGGATTTAGAGGTGTCTGAGGCCAGCTAGCACCCGTAGCCTTGTGCTGGCTCAGAGGACTGGGCTGCTGTAAAGTGGATTGCTGCTGCCACCTGGTGGGCTTGGGTGAGAAGTGTCTGCTCTACCCTCAGGCCCAGAGGAAGCCTCCCTGAGGCCCAGTGGCCCAAACCCCCAGGGCTGTATGCCTGCAGTCATCCCATGATGCACAGGTATGATGACACACCCTGCCCCTACACTAGAGAAGGGGTGGAGGACCTGGGAAGGCCTGGCATCTGGGAGCTGGTGGGGCAGGAGAGCAGTCAGGCCAGACAGACCTGGAAGGTGAACTAAGGAGAGACAGTGGGGTGCCAAGTGGCCCACTAGCAGGGAAGGCCCTAGACCCCTGGGTGGGGGGCCAAGCAGGAGGACAGTTCCCAGTGAGAGCTTCCCCTAGGAAGAGGGTCCCTGGCCACTTAAAGCTGAGGATAGGGATATGATTTAGAGACCTTTTATTTACCCTCAAACACACACACACACACACACACACACACACACACACACAGCTGGTGGGGGTGAAGGGCACAGGAAGACCAAGTGAAGATGCATTGAAGTCCCTGCTGCGGGAGCTGCTGACAAGGGGCATGAAGGGGTGGGGGTGGGGGAGGTCCCTTTTACCCCCTTCTCTTATACTGCCAGAGACCAGGCAACACCCACCCCAGTTCAGTCCACGGGTGCCAGTCAAAATAGTGAACAGGCCAGGCATTGGCGTTCACCAACAGAGCAGAGGTTGACCTCACAGATGGAGCAAGGTCCCGGGCCCTGCTGGACCATGAGGACGTCTTGGGAAGGACAGGTGGGGCTGGAGGACACGCAGGGGCCAACTAAGACAGACATGTTTCAAGCTTCTAACAGGAAAGGCAGTACTGGTGTGGACCTGGAATATCAGCCCAGCTCCAGGCCCTGGACTCCCGGGTGCACTCTGGCCTGGGTCAGCCAGGTGAGGTAGGGGGCAGCACAGTCATCAGCCCCAGCCCCAGCCCCAGGAGGTGACAGTCAGGGAGAGCCATGGCAGACACTCTCAGGGTGCTGTGCTAGGCGTGGGGCCCCACTCACCACTGAGAAGTTGTGAGGGCCGCAGGGCCCCCCTTGGTAGGAACAATAGAGCAGCATGTCCTCCAGCCGGTGGCAGGAGCGATTGTAGAAGCGATGCAGGTTAAAGGGCTCCCCAGAGAAGGCCTCAGGGCCCGGTGGAGCGAGGGGCACCCCAGGGTCATCACTTTCATCCAGTCCCAGCATGGGGGCCAGATAAAGCAAGTCGGGGTAGCTGAGCTGGGACAGCCGCACTGTATTAGTGTTGCACAGGGTGACCGCTGGGAAGGCCAGCTCCCTGGTGGCCACTTCGTTTAGCAGGGTCACGTGTGGGTAGCTGCGGTAATAAGAAACGCGGTCCCCTACCTGGCACAGGAAGGCACCCAATGCCAGGACAAAGGCCACTGCCCACAGTGCCTGCCTTGGCCCTGGACCCCCCTCCACAAAGATGTGGTTGGTGCCGTGGAGGGTGCAGCTATTGGCGAAGGCCACCAAGTCCATGGGTGAATGCCCTTCACTGGCCTCCTTCCTCGCTGCTTCCTTTTCCTTCTCTTCCTCCTCTTCTGATTCTGAGTTGTCCTGCTGTTGCTGATGGTGGTGGGTACCCCAGATATCTCCCAAGGGCCCCGGGGCCTCCTCTCCAGAAGAGAATGACATGGAGCAGAAGATCTGGATGGGCATCTTCTCCAGGGGCTTCCTGGTGCTGGGGACTGGCAGGAGGAAGGGGGAAGGTGCCAGAGGGGACGGCAATGTGACCCTGGCAGAGTACGGCAGAGCCAGCCACCCAGCTCTTCAGCCAGGTCTCCACAGCCTGGCCAGCTGTCCTTCCTCACAGGGCCTCTGTGGCAGTGTGGCTGGGGCGGGGCATGGGAGGAGGACCAGCCTGCCCTGCCAGGGAGGGCTGGCGTCTGGGCTGATGAATAATTGATGGCAGTGGGAAAGGGAGGCTGATGGAGAGCAGGGGGCTAGAGTCCCTTTCCTGTCACCAGCTCCAGCAGCACAGAGAGGGCTTAGGATAGAGTGGAAACCCTGGAAAAGCCTAGGGCTGGGGCTCGTGGAAACTACCCCTCCCAGGTGAGGAGGGATCTGGTGCCATCCTTTGTGCCCACTGCCATGATGATCACAGCATGATCCCGCGCCCCCAGGACACAAACAACACACACTCATGCGCTCTGTCATCCTTCAGTCTGTTCCTCGGCATGTCCGTCAGTGCCCCCATCCCAATTCTGGGTCCTCTCCCTATTCTCCCCTGGTCCAGTTATTCCTCTGGGATACCTGAGCCCCCCTGGTTCCCCCCCGCCCACTGGGCACTCTCTCAGACCTCCAATTCCTCTCTCGTTTACTTTGACCCATAATCCACCCAAGTATTGCATTGACCCCCAATTCTCCCAATCCACCGAGACCCCACTTCCCCTTTAATTACTCCTTTCATCCCTAGCTCCTGTCCTGACCCCAATTTACTTTTCAGTTACTCCCTGAATCCCCAATTCCCCTGCAATCACTCCCTGCCCCCAAGGTCCCTCTAGCCAGTTCCCACCCTGTTTCTCTTCCCCTCCCTCCCTGGCCCCAGCTCTACTTCAGGTCAGCATTACCAGCTCTCATCTCACCCCCAATGCTGAGCTGTGTTTTGGTTCCTCTCCTCCCCTCACCCCTCCTGTGGCTTGTGGGCCAGCCCAGGTTCCATTAGCAGCGGTCTCTCACTGGCCACAGACTCATTTCTGACAGTTCCGGGCACTGCAGGGAGGGACCCTGTCTCCTGCTGCTGGAAAGCTTCCTGGCAGATCACCACTACCCCTTTCAGCTTGCCCCCCATTCCCCAACAATTTAGGAGCTCGAGGAATTCTCTGGTGGGTGGAAGAAACTGAGATCAGTGCTGGGCGAGGCAGGGGAACCTGGGTCAGGTAGAGAGTATTGGGAACCAACTTGGGGTTCCCCCGAAAACCCTCAGCCTTGCAGACTCCTGGCCTCTCAGTCTCTGAGGCTCCCCTGCCCCTAATTTACCATTCCCTGCCCCCAGGCCCCTGGGCCCTCTGTGTCCTCTGATTACTCGGGGCCACTGGTTGAGGAACTTGAGCCACCAGCCAAGTCTCCAGGGCCAAGAAGGTGACCTAAGGGGAGGAGGGGAAGGGGGGCAGAGGGGAGGGAGGTATAGCAGATTAACTCTTTCTCTGCAGGGCCAGAGGAGGAGCCATGGGGCTAGACTGGGGCTAGGTGGGTCTGCTTGGGCCTCCCCATTCCTTAAGCATCCCCTAGCCCCAGGCCACATTCTCCCTCCTCCTTTCTTCTCCCTCCCTGCTCCCACCATCTTCCCTTCTCCATTTGCAGAGACCCTAGAGTGAGTTGGGGATAAGAGGCAGGGTGCCAGGTTCTAACAGAACTGAGTGATGTGGAACCTTTGGCCTCAGCTTTGCTGCCAGGGACAGAGAGGTCCCCTAAGTGGTGCCTTAAGCTCTGGCCCCTCTCCATCCTTCTGCCACTGCCCTCAGACTGGCCTCATCCTCTTTTGCCGAAACAACTTCTCAGTGGGTCTCTACCTCCTTGCAGTTTCTCCCCACTGTTAGTCCCTGCTGTGTGACTCTGATCATTCTTCTGCTTAAAGACCTTCTCTCATTCCCCACTGCCTCCTGGCAAAATTTAGTCATCTCTTGTGGCCGCACAAAGCTGAAAGCAATGCAATGTACCCTCCACCCCCGGCCAGCATCCAGCCTCCATGACCCGTCCCCAGATACACGAGACTCATCCACAGTCCTATGCCTTCCCTGGACTCCATCTGGAGAATTCCTACTCATTTTTCAAGACCCTACTCCCATGCTACCTCCTCCAAGCAGCCTCCCCGGACTGCACAGGGCGCTGTTAGTGCCCACTCAGGGAATGAACTGAAGGGTCCAGTTCTCCTCAAGGCCCTACAGCTGTGAGTAATGACCGAGAGTAACAGAGCAGGACCAAGAGACCATGTGCAGGAACAGGAAGCAAGGAAGGCCAGGAATACCCAGGGCAACCAGAGATAAATCACTGCAGAGATTAGGAGAGACCCCCCAACCCCTCCCACCCCCGCTCAACCTTCAGCTGCTGTCCTCTGTCTTCCTCTGCCTGAACCCGTGTGTCCTGTCCCATGTGTGTCTTTTTTCTGCCTGCCAGATCTTGAGCTCTCAGAGGGAAGGGGCTCCTCCTTTGCATTCCCCAGGAAGGGCTTCAGAGGGGACACTTCCAGACTTCGGTGGAGTGGGGCTGAGGCATGGGTGGAGGAAGCTGCAGCTGCCCATATGTTCCCACTAGAGGGCACTGTCCCCCCTCCTTCAGATGTTTTGGAAGGGAAGCAGATTGATTTCCAGAAGGAAGCAGCTAAGGCAAAGAGAGCTTCCAGCTTTGGAGCCCCAGCAAAGAGAAGGATGTGCACACACAGACAGCGCCAAAGGACAGTAAGTTGTCCTTTGTGCAGCTGAATACCTCTTCCCCCACAGCAGCCAAGACCACACTGCACACCTGCACATTACCACACAGACACACAGCCCTGGTGTGGGGCAACATACACACACACCCCAACACACACAGAGACACACCCTGACACACACACACAGAGACACACACCAACACACACACACCAACATACACACAGACACCTCAACACACACATACACCAACATACACAGCCCAACACACTCCAACATACACACACATCGCAACACACACACACACCAACACACACACCAACATACACACACACTGCAACACACGCACCCCAACACACAGACACACCCCAACACACACACCTCAACACATACGCACACCAACATACACAGCCCAACACACACTCCAACATACACTCCAACACACTCACTGACACAAACACACACCAACATACACACACATTGCAACACACACACCCCAACACACACAGCTCAACACATACACAGACCAACATATGCAGCCCAACACACACTCCAACATACACTCCCCAACACACACACAACACAAACACATACCAACACACACACTCACCCCAACACACACACACCAATACACACAGACACACCCCAACACATACACCAACACACACAAACATACACACACTCCAACACATTCACCCCAACACACAGACACATCTCAACACACACACTCCAACACACATACACACACCAACACACACACAGACACCCAACTGCATATCCTCTCTCCTCCATCACGTGTCTGCTTGTTCAAGCAAGTGCTTATTCTTCTAACATTCTCTCCCATCTTCATCTCGTTCAAGCAATGGGGAGGTGAGGAAAGTGTCGAAGGGCGTATCCAGAGGGCCCCTGCAGAGGCGCCCATGCAGACACACACACCCAGAGCTGCACTCAGTTCTGAACTCTCTGTCCAAGCAGGCAACCTTCCCCACCCAGACCTTCTCTTCAGCAGTGTGTGCTGACTCAGTGGTTTCTGACTTTTTCTGTCTCTTTCTTCATTCCAGCCACCCCTCACGTCCGTGTAATGCCTCATGATTTTCGATTGTTATCTCATGGGATCCTTCCACAATCCAGTGAAATAAGCAGGCATGAGTAAGTTCACTCCTATCTCACAAGTGGGAAGACTGAGCCACACCAGCCTGCTCAAGTCTCAGGGAGAGCAGGAAGTGGGCTGGAGGCTGGAATGAGGTCATCTGTCTCCAAATCCCTTGCTTCTTCATTCTCTCATTTATTCCTTACCCTAGTGGAGAACAGATCATGGACCCACTCTCATGGACTGGACCTTCATGGAGCTTACTGTCTAACAGGGGAGACAGACATCAATTCAAAACTGAAAAAAATAAGTATCTAATTGCAAACCATGATAAGTGCTATGAAAAAAAAATTTATGGCTCTATTGGTGTGAATGACAGAAGGTCCTGACCCAGACTGGGGAATCAAGGAAGCTTTCTCTGAGGAAACGATGTTTGAATTACAGTCTAAAGAATAAAGAGGAGGCTGGGTGAGGTGGTTCATACCTGTAATCCCAGCACTTTGAGAGGCCAAGGTGGGCAGATCACTTGAGGCCAGGAGTTCAAGACCAGCCTAGCCACCATGGTGAAACCCCATATCTACTAAAAATACAAACGTTAGCCAGGTATGGTGACACATGACTGTAACCTCATCTACTTGGGAGGCTGGGGCATGAGAATTGCTTGAACCCAGGAGGCAAAAGTTACAGTGAGCCAAGATTGTACCACTGCACTCCAGCCTGGATGATAGAACGAGACTGTTTCAAAAAAAAAAAAAAAAAAAAGGAGAAGAGGAATAATTAGGTAATGGGGTGTGTGTGTGTGCGCGCACGCGTGTGTGTATGTGCACGTGTGTGTGCAGTAGCATGTGCCCCTGTGGAAGAGGGAGGTATTCCAGAGAGAGAACAGAGTGTGTACAAATGTCTTGAAGGAGAGATATGAGAAGGGGCAGGTGTGGTTTGAGAGGTGGGTAAAGGCAGGGAGGACCCAAGTCACTCAGGGCCTTAAAGGCCACGGTGAGGAGTCTGGCTCAAGGACAATGAAAGACTCGCCGTGGAAGGATTTCAAGTGATCAGAGCTTTGTTTTGAAAAGACCCCTCTGGCTGCAGACTGAAGGATCTAGATGGGCTTCTTGAAGGCCTGTCAAGGAGCCACTGCAGTGGCCCAGGTGAGGCATGCAGTGGTAGGACGGCCTAGAATGGGGGACAGAGTGGGGATGTTTACAAGGCAAAATTGGCAGATCCTGTCAAGGCAGGTGAGGGAGATGGAACGTCAGGGCTGATTTCCGGTTTGCACGGTGGGGTGAACAGTGGCGTGGCTCACTGGATCAGGCACACAGGTAGAGAACTAGTTTGGGAGTTAAGATAATGACTTTGGTTTTGTGCATGCTGGTTTTGAGGAGTCATAGGGACATCCAAGTAGAGTCGTTTAGTGGGAAATTGGCGACTGGGGCTGATGCTAAGAGGAGAGAGCTGGGCTGAGACATAAATTTGGCAGTTGTCAGTGTGTAGATGGTAACTGAAGTCATGAGTGAATATGAGACTGCCCAAGAATAGAATATAAAGTTAAAAAAAAATAGGAAAAAAATGTCTGATTTGGCAGTATCCACTAAAGCTAAACAGAATCATACCCTATGACTTAACCATAGATCCTAGTCATATTCCCAAGAGAAATGAGTGCATATATCAACCAAAAAACATGAACAAGAATGTTCATAGTAGCTTTAGAGATAAGAGCCAAAAACTAGTAACAACCCAAATATCTAGCATCGGTAGAATGGATTAAATGTGGCACATTCATACAATCAGATACTATACAGCATCAAACAAGAACCAACCACTGCCACACACAACACCATGGCTGAATCTCACAAACATAATCACAAGCAAAACAAAACAAATAGATACAAAAGAGTATATACTGTATAGGGGATACACATATACCAGGAGGTTCAAGTATGAGTGAAATTGATCTATACTGATAGAATAGTGGTTAACGTTTGTGGGGTAGCACTGACTAGGAAACAGCCTGAAGGAACTTTGTGGGGTGCTGGAAATGTTTTATATCAATGTAAATACATACCAATGTAAAATAAAAATACCACATTGTAAGACATACCAGTGTAAATATTCTTCAAGCTATAATACTGGTGCATTGTACTCTTACGATTTAAAAGATCAGAGCTTGGGACTGAGCCTTGAGTAGTGACAACACTAAATGACCAAGTAGAAGAAAATGAACTGGCAGAGACAGAGGAGTGGGTAGACATAGGAAGAAAACCAAGAGAGTATGATTGTCAAGAAAGGGAGTAGTTCAAAAAAGAGGTGGTGGGGGCCTGGTGTGGTGGCTCACACCTGTAATCCCAGCACTTTGGGAGGTTGAGGCAGGCAGATCACCTGAGGTCAGGAGTTCAAGACCAGCCTGACCAACATGGAGAAACCTATCTCTACTAAAAAAAAAAAAAAAAAAAAAAAATTAGCCAGGCATGGTGGCATGTGCCTGTAATCCCAGCTACAGGCACGAGAAGATGGGAGGCTGAGGCAGGAGAATCGAGAACCCGGGAGGTGAAGTTTGTGGTGCCTGGGCAACAAGAGCGAAACTCCATCTCAAAAAAAAAAAAAAGGTAGTGGCAACTATTTTGAATGCTATTGAGAGATCAAGAATAAAAAAGAAATGTTTGCTGGATTTGGCAACATGAAGGTGACAACTGTCCTTAGCTAGAACCATCTAGAAGTGGTGGGGACAGGGAAAGAAGGCAGCCCGGAGTGGATCAGAAAGTGAGTTAGAGGTGAGGAAATGGAAACAGTGAAATAAACACATCACTTTTAGGAACTTCGTAAAGGGAAGCAAAGAGATACTATGGGAGCTGGCAGGTGCTATGGAGTTGAGAGCTATGTATGTTTTCGTTTTTATCTTAGCACAAAGACAGATACATAGCAAGTGCTCAATATATGTTAGCTGTTATTACAGCTATGTATTTTAAGACGGGAGCATCTTCAGCATGTTTCATTGTCAATGGGATGCCACTTGAGAAGGAGCGACCAACTGTAGAGAAGGCAGAGACAGAATTAGCAGGAGAAAGTTCCTAAAAAGGCAGAAGGGAATCAGATGAAAACACTAGGTTGAGACTTTATCCTAGATAAGATGAATGTTCCCTTCCAGGGCTTGGTACCCAGAAGAAGGACAAGATCTTGTCTGAGGCCTCTGTTTTTTCAGTGAAGTAAGTGGGAGGCAAGGTCATCTTCTGAGGTGAGAGAGGAGCTAGGAAGGATGGCTGAGAAGAGTGGAGAAGTTTGCAGTCGTTACTGGGGAGAGCAAGTTGACCAGGAAAACACAGTGGGGTTGCCAGAAGTCACTGCACACTCATTTAAGGGTGTTGAACATGAACACAATGCAATATTAAGCTGCCCTGGTATGTGACTCCCTCATGTAGGTCCTGGCTGCCCTGGTGTGACCCTGGGGAAAGTCAGTGGTGGGTTCACCCAAGATTGGCACTTGGCCTGATGGTGCAATGAAAAGACAAAAGCATCAAAAGATGGGGCCTACTCAACTTACGGATGGGATTCCTAGGGTCTCTACTCTGCACCCTTTCTTGCCCTTCCTGCCTCCCACACTGCTTCTCAACAGAGCACCCTCCTCCATATACACTCCTGCTCCTACAGCCACACACAAAGAACCTGGACTTAGAAGATCTGAAGTCAGGGTCCCGTTCTGTCATTTCCCAGCTGTGTGATCTCAGGCAAGTCACGTAACTCCTCTGAGCCTGTTTTCTCATCTTTCCAATGAAGATGTTAACTATTTCCTACCTCCCAAGAATTATGAAGGTCACATGAGCTAAAGTAAAGGGAAATTGTCAATTGCAAAGTACAACTGAAAGAGATGATTAATTTTGCTGGTATGTGCTCGGCATGCAACCAGAGGTTTGCCTGCACAAAAGCTTTCTCCCACAGCCATACACACCAAGCTGCAAGCCCCATACACCTCCACATGCCTCCACTTCACATGTTACATCCACACTCTCCCCCCGACACACACAGAGGTGCACATATGTGCTTGTACACTCGGGGCGCACATGCAATTAGGGTGTTGTGAGGAAGTCTGAGATGGCTGCTGTCCACGGCCAGGGCCACTGCAGCACTCTCACCCCCAGGGATGTTCTCAGCCTGGCACACTGATGTGACACCAACTATAGACACACAGCACTAAGCTGCACAGCCCAACTCCTGGGCCTCCAGTACCGTCATCCACATGGAAGGCATGCATAAGGCTGGGAAAGGGTTTTCAATCCAAGAACTCATGGGATCTCCGAAAGATGACACTGGCCCTCCATCTCCCTCGGGAGTAGCCTTGGAGAGCCTGGGATGGCAGAGTGTCTATCCTTGCAGCGCCTTAAGGCAACTTCCCTTTGAGGTGAATACACAGCAGCTTCATGCTTATTTTTAAATATTCTATGAGGAAAATGTCCAATTCTGTGTCCAGGTAGGTTGGCGCTGCCCCATTACACATGGGGCAGTGTGGGCTTGGCCAGAGAATCCCAGAGGAAGGGCTGCCCCTCAATAAAAAGTCATTTTACAACCTCCTGACAGGAGATTGGGCTTAGAAGCTAAGAAGTGGGGCCAGGTGGAACTTTGCCCAAAATAGAGACCAGGAGCCCTAATGCCCAGTCCCATCCTCCACCCAGCTAGGCACCCCTTCTCATTCTCGCTGTCTCCTTCCAGCTTTGCCTCCCAGAATGCCCACCCAAGGGTTCCAACTGGGATGTTATAGGTCAGAGGGTAGAGGCTTCTACAGTGGCCACCTCAAACATGTAAGTGAGGGAACGCTTGGGGGTGGGCAGGGGCTGGTCAAGGTGGAAGAATGGCCGTGGCCAGAGGGAATTGGCCAGCTGATTTACTGAGCTAGGGAGACACCAACACATTCTACGAACCTGGCATTTTCTGAGAGGCTGAGCTTGTCTGGGGAGATTGGGAGGACTCCCCCTGGATGTTGAGTCTGCTCATCTGCAGCCTGTTCCCCCTTGTTCTGACGCCTACACCACCTGGCCTCTTTAGTACCACCGCCATGGCTCTCAGCCCCGAGCTTCCTGAGCTGCCCTTAACTGCCCCAATGCAGGACCTGGCACAGGGAAGTGGCACTGTCTGCTATGGGAATGAATCCACTGGAGCTTGACGCTCCTCTAATCCCAGCTTCTCATTCCGAATATTCCATTTCCCTCGCCATCCCCTGAGAATTGAAATTACTTTCCACAAAACTGAAGCACACTCCTCCACCCACAGCAGAAGGTTCCAAGCCTCTCTGTGGTCTCCTCTTCTGCCTCCTGGACACACTGGGCATCCCAAGGCCACAGCTAGGAGTTCTCCACCAGTTGGGCAGTGACAAAGGCCCAAGGCTTAGAGGTGTTCCTCCTCCTCAGCCCTCCACTTCCAGGCTTGGCCCCCAGAGGCACTTAGTTACTCAATTCCCTATTACTTTAGCCAATAGCCCAGATATCAATTGGCTTAGAGTGGCTCTTAGCTGATAGCAGTCTGAGAGAGGAGTGGAATCAGAAATGGCTGGGGTCTGGGGAGAAGGGGAAGAGGTGTGAGAGGAAATGGGGTTACCCGAAGTATGTTTGTGTGTATCTGTTTCTGAGGGAGGAGGAACAGGAGCCATCTGATACCCCAACCCAGGGCCCACCCGCTGGATTCCTACAACTACAATGGGGTCTGCTCCTGTCTCCTCTCTCCACCTGCCTGTGTTCAGTTTAGACACTTCCTGGGAGGGAGGGACAGATGAGAAGAATAAGGCAGGAGGCGGTAGCCATGAAGCCCTAGGGTGGGAACCCTTCCCCCAAAGTTCATGATCCCCATGAACCCCTCCTCCAAAGCTCACGTCTCCAGGTCAGCCTCTTCTACCCCTCTGCAATCTGTGTGTGTTCCCTCTTCCCACCCATGAAGACCATCAGGCCTCTGGGTGGGGCTGCCCCAGACCTCCCTTCCCCTCTTTGCACAGCAGTCTGGGCAGCCTTTCACCTCAGCAGCCCCTCCACTCCCTATCTAGCTGGAGGGCACAGACCCCAGTAATAAGGTCAGGCCCTCCCAAAGGACTTCTGGTCTGAGCTTCTATGGGGCAGTAATGGGGTGTGGGGATGAGGGGTGAGCCCTGGGGATGAAGAAGCTCCATGCTAGTCCTGGCTCTTGCTGGGTGCCGTCATCTCTGGCTCTCCTGCTTTAAGATGACCTCTTTCTCCCCGCTCTGGGTCCCGGGATGAGGTGCCCTCAGCCACCTCTGGTTGTGGCATCTTACTTTCCCAGGTGCTCCTGGGTGCCCGGCTCCCTTCGGAACCTTGCAACGGGGCAGCAGGGGAGGCTTCTGTGCTCACCTCCTTCACTCCACCTCTTCCCCGGGAGATTCCGGTCTCCAATCCAGGGTCCTGAGAAGGACTCCTGTGGACCCCCCAGGGATACCTGTCCCCCTGTTTCACCCTCCTGAGAGAGATTATGATCCACACCACACACCCACCCCAGCATTCCCACTCTCTGCCCTCCTCTTCCTTCTCTTCCAGGGCCCAGAAATGAATTCCTGCTTCTCTCTCCCCTAGGCAAAGGGTCTGGGTCTCAGCGGAGGAGGAGGTGGCATAGGGCAGACTGGGCAACCATCTGCTAGCCCCCTCCCCGTGCTGCTGCTCAGCATTCCGGCCACATCAGCTGCTCCCACTGCCAGGGACAGATAAGGTGCAGCTGGAGGCTGGCACCAGCTGCGACTATGCTCACTCCCCTGGCCCCCTCCCAGACACCAGCAGACAGCTGCACCCCAGCCCCCCTCCATGGAACCCCTGCCCTGCCTTGGTCTGGCTAGCTCAAGGTGTGGCAGGAGAGAGGAACTGAAGACCCCGTTGCCTTGGCAACAAAGCACCCTACCAGGAAGGAAAGGAGGTGGCCCGGAAGAGGGGGCCTTGTGGTTGTGCCATTACGTAGCTCAGGAGGGAGCTACTGAGACCTTCCCAGCCAGGTTGCTGTGGCAATACTCCCTGCCCTGCCCTTCTGCCTCTTCTGTCCTGAAGGACTGCCAAACCAGTCTCTCCCAGATTCACCTAGGCTCCCTATATTCACCCCCACCCTCCCAAGCTGACTCAGACACACCTGGGGGATGGACCCTGGCCAAATGCTCTGTGACCACCAAGCATGCCCTGGGGTTGAGCTGGATCCAGATGCACATCTGGAGAAATGCCTGTTACTGCAGATTCTTCTCAGGGGAGCAGGGGTCTTCGAGTGACCAGAGTAGCCTCCCTGAATTGTCCTCTTCTGCTTCCCCCAAGCAGCCTTGAGAAACAGGGTTCTTATTGTTGAGATGAGGGTTGCCCTTAGAAATCCACAAAAGAAGAGGCCGGGTGTGGTGGCTC